AATTTTTATTTATTTTTTTTTTTAACCTTTCTTAAAATTTTCTCATTTTTTTTTTTTTAATAAGTATAATATCATGTGGTATATTCATGTATATTCATGTGGAAATATTCTAATTAAATTTTGGGTAAATTTTCATATATCTATTACCTGAATCGTCGTTTATTTCTACAAAAGAATTTAATGTTCTGCATTTCGAAAATGATTCGTCAGCTCGGCTGTTAAGTAATTTAAGAAATACTTTTGAAAATGTCATGCATTGCATACCGTTTGACATTACATGCGTGTGTGCGTATGAGTGTGCTTGTGTGTGTGCGTGTGTGTGTGCAAGGGCTAAAAGCATTTTGGGGTCTTCAATAGTTTATCAGCATTCTTCGTTGCGATGTCTGGGATGCGGTCTGAATTTGTTAGCCGGAGGTTTTGGCATCAGGTCTGTTCAAAGTTAAGTGCAGCACAATGGCTTAGGTGAATGCCTGGCATAGTTCGCTCTCAATGGGCTAGTGTCTGGGTGTCTGGGTGTCTGGGTCAAAGGGCGGATTAGTCAATATATATAAATATGTATGTATGTGTGTGTGTGTGTTTAAATTTTACGCTGAGAAGCATGCGATGCCGAAAATTTGCGGCAAGTCATGTATTAAGAAGCATTTTAAATTAAATTCCAGCTGAAAATCAATCAAAAATAAATGCACCTGAAAAATCTACATTCAGCGGACAGACGGCATTTAAGTAGTATGCAATCGGCGCTCTCATGTATAAAGCGTAATTAAATTACCGTTGCTCACTTTGACTTTGAGTGACAAACAAACAAACCAAAAGACTTGACAAACACTAATTGCGGCTTCTTGAAATGGAAAATCTTCTGCCAGGATTAAGACCTGAAATGGAGTGAATCGATAAAAATCGATTTTTTATTAAATTGTAAAGTCAAAGCAAAAGGTGTTCTCTTCGTATTCAAAGTAAATTGATTCCCTATTTTTGATTATTTTTACTAAATCAAAGAAAACATCCCTCAAGGCGCATTTAAAATGTTGGATAAGCAAATTGTAAAATTGCATCGGAGAAATTCGAGAAGATAGAGCGGCAGATCCTTTATACATATTCCTGATCTATCATCTATACAAAATTACAGTTTTATTGATTTTGAATTAGCAGTTACTACACAGGTCTGTCCATATTAAACGGACCCATCTGGCAACCCTATGAGGTTGCTCATGGTTATTGTGGTTACTTAGGTTTTTTCCCAACCATTTCATAGACTTAAATGAGTCAAAAAGTATTTTGTGTATGTATTGGTATGCTTACACGAGTTGTTTTAGCATTGTGTGCGTGTGTGTGTGTGTACATGTATATGCGAATATGAAGAAGCTCACATACTAAGTCTCATTATGCGATCGTCAATCATATCGTTGCCTAAAGGATGTTCGTGAAAAGAGCGTCACACGAATAGTTCAGCCTAAGGCTCTCAACAGAAAACGGAGACGAATCAAAATCAAAGAGTCCTGCTCAGAGTGAGAGGGAGTGAGTGTGATTCTGTAAACAGAGCACAAAGAAGAAAACGGTTAAAGGTTATTTGCGAGCTATGATCTTAAGTTATCGATTCATATCACTTGAGATAGGCACCACTTTATCAGGAACATCTCTGAGACTTCTTTCTAGAATTATATCTTATTTATTTTCTGCTAACACTGGCTTTAATATACGTATACATATGTGTTTGTCTTTTGAATGGAAGCTCAGTTGAAGTCAATTTGAATTCATTTCAATGCTATTAACTATGAGTCATCGAATCTTTGAGATCAGCCGCACCCTTCTAGATATATTTCTTACTAATTTTCTATCAATACTTGTTTTAATATATGTTCGCCTCATTTTAATGAAATTTTTTAAAAGTCAGTTTGAATTGATTTGAAACAATCGATAGCTTTTTAATAAAATCGATTAAAACTGCTATCAAATTTGAGTTATCGATCATAATTTATGTCCTTGGCGGACACTACCTTCTAAAGTTATTTCTTTCTCGTTTTCTCTTAACACTTGTTCTAATATTATATGTTCGTCTCTTTTTTTCATTCAATTTCAGTCGAAGTCAATGTGAACGAGAGTCCAGTGCACTTGACACTCTGTGATACCGCCGGCCAGGATACGCTGGATCCGTTGCGCGAGCTGAGCTATCCCGACAGCGATGTCTTTCTGCTGTGCTTCTCGGTGGTCAAGCCCGAAACGTTCGGGGCCATCAAATCGAAATGGGCTCCCAAATTTGCCAAAACAAAGGCGGCGCTCATTTTGGTTGGCACCCAGGCCGACCTGAGGAGCGATTTGAATGTGTTGAATAAATCGCAGGTGAGTTCTCGCCCCATCCCCCTTACACCTTTCGCCTTTCGCATCTCCCGTAGCCGTTGTGCTCTTTTTATTTATTTTGATATTTTTCTGCTGCTGCGTGTTGATTTTGCTTATTTATGCGCCTTAGCTCATGCTTGACTTCATTCTCATTTGTCAGCGTGAGGCGCACGTGTGTGTAACTGTGTGTGTGTGTGTGTGTGTGAACAGCGAATTGTTAAAATATTTATGATATTCTTATTTGATTTCATATGTGCTTCGGGCGTGCCGCTTTCCCATGGATGAGCAGACAAATGGCGAGAAACCAATTTCATATGCAGACGCCTGGGATTTGGCAACAACAATTGGTGCCAAATACATCGAGACTTCCTCAGCCACACAGGTGAGTTCACATGAAATGTTTAGATGCTTGTTGCCGTTGCTGTTGACGTTGTTATTGCTGTGGCCATTGTTGATGCCGTTGGGCCAAGCATTTCAACCGCCATCATATTAATTAAAGCAACAGCAGCAGGCGAAGTCTGCGAAGTCATTGCACCAGCAATGGCTAAAAAACACTAACACACTAGCAACAGTCGCAACAGCAACAACAACAACAACAACAGCTTACATTCAACAAATCCTTTGGGCTGTCGCTGTCTGTATGCAAACACTTAAAAACGGAAAATTCTGCTGAATGCTGACATTTGCCTTTGAGGTAATGTGCCACACTTTGCTTCCCATAGCCACAAGCAGACGCAGAGACAGACACACAGACACACACACAGACGCACACAATAATCATAATTGTGCGGTGTTCGTGCTGGTTACTGCTAAAGTAACAACTGCCTGACTCTGCTGGCTCTGCTGACTCTGCTGCCTCTGCTGCCTCTGGTGGCTCAAGCTCTGTCGCTTGCGTTGCCACTGCCAACACACCACTTCCTTCGAGTGGATGGCAGCGTTTTTTGTATTGGCCGTGCAATGCACTCGCACCTTTATGTGGTCCCCAAGAAGCCGCCAATGCTGACTGCGAGCACGCAAGGGAAATTTACTCGCATTGCTGCACAAAAAAAAAATAAAAATAAATAAAAAAAAAAAAAAAATGAAGAAAAAAAGATACAACAATTGCGCTGTCGCCGCATGCGGAATTCTTTTTACATTTTTAAATAAGCGCAAGAAAAAAAATATGATTTTAATTGGACATACTTTTTTCATATATGTAATTATATATATGGATATATTTTCTATTTTTATTTATATTACGTATACGTAATTAGAACACGCATTCGTCATGTTAGGCCAGAAAATTTAATTTAGTATAATGCATAAGGCGCAACTGCAGCGGAATTGCATCTTTGGATTATTTCAGACTTGCCTCTACAATTTAAAGTTTTCTTTTCAATAATATATAGAAAACAGTATCAAATCCAATTAAATACAATGTAGATTGTTATATCAATTAGCATGGCACTATAGTTAACTATCGATACTTAACCATAATGCTATCGATATTTAACTACATATAACGCAAGCGATGCTCACAGCGAATGTTTTTAAGAGTAGAGGAAGAAATTTATTCGAGCAAATAAAGCAAAGAAGATTAAGCAGCAGATGCGGGTAGATATTTCAAATAAGATAAGACCTTTTACAGTAAATTTATGCAGGAATTTCATTTGTAGCAGGCCAGTATAATATTTGAAGGACTAGCACTATAATTAGCATCGATAGATACAAATTTATCGATAGTTATGTTATGCTATTATGAGCAATAGAAGACGAAGAGAAAGATGGGCAGAACGAATTAGAGGCTGAGAGAGTTAAGTTTGATTTTAAGTGAAGAAATAAAGTGAAGAAATAAAGGCCTCCTACATATTTTATTTCGAGTCAGTCTTCATACTTTCCCTTATTAATAAATTACAACTTTATTATATTTTATGACTTTGTTATTAAAAATTAATTTCAATTATGTGATCAACTTTTTTCTCCGCTTTAAAATACTCGCCGACGTCGTTTCTTCATTATTATCTCATATCTTATTTTTTCGACTCTCCATCTTCTACACATTTCTATTCTTCTGAGTAATACTACTATTACCACTACTACTACACTCCTCTTTTACTTTTCTACGAACGGTTCATAATAACTAGCTTAATGCTTGCGCTCGCTACAAATGATTTCTAGTTCATTTGCCAGGGATGTCATCATTTTTCAGAATCCTACATATATTTTTTATTTGTCTTACTTAAATTTATAAATCCTTTTCTTTTTCTTCTCTGCTGCAGGATAAAGTCAAAGACGTTTTTGATACAGCCATCTGGGAGGGCTTGGTGCCCACAACATTGCCGCCCACGCCGCCCTTCTGGAAGAAGCTCTTTTGCCTTGCCTAATGGGAGAGTGAGAGCTACGCAAACGTATATTTCTTTATATATTTGCAACTCGAAAAAGAGAAAAAAAACTCAACAAAATGAAGATAGTAAAAAAAAAACACTAGTAATAATAATATTTTTCTT